AGGCTGCAGGACAGTGCATGAAGTTGGCTTAAAATTACCTTTGACCCCTTTGTCTTTCCTGTTATGTGCATTTCAGGAATCAGCCCCCCAGTGACTAAAAGTTAAACAAGCTGAGGTATCCTTGATGGCAGAAGTTTATTTATCTGGAGTCTCTTGTTTTTTGTTGACAGGTTATTATATTACTGTCACTAAGAACCAATTTTAAAAGTTGATCTCTTCAAATTGTCTAATGCAGGGGTTCTCAAACTTGGAGTTGGGACCCCTCAGGGGGTTGCGAGGTTATTACATGGGTGGGGGGGCGCGAGCTGTCAGCCTCCACCCCAAACCCTGCTTTGCCTCCAGCATTTATAATGGTGTTAAATATGTTAAAAAGTATTTTTAATTTATAAGGGGGGCCGCACTCAGAGGCTTGCTATGTGAAAGGGGTCACCAGTACAAACGTTTGAGAACTACCGGTCTAATGATTCAAGTTGCATAGTTACAGCCAATGGCTTAGTGTCGGTATTGGCGCTGCTAGGTATTTTATCTTGTTAAAATTGAGGAACCTTTTCAAAAAAATGATTCTGAAGTGATAAGTGTGTTTAGAAACTTACTTGTTATTTAACAGATTGAAACAATGAGACTTGGAGTGACAAAATGAAGGCAAACTAGTCAGTTAAATGGGCTTTTCTTTTCCTTGGTTTAGTAATGGGACACGAGAGCTGATGTGCTACAAAAGCTCATGATACAAATCACCATGGATTGTAATTTATTGCAAAGCAGATTATTTATATGGTAGTTTGACTTCTTGCTGTAGACAATATAATAGTAGGAAGAACAGAAGTAACAACATAATTCTTGTAAATAATGATTAGTCTCCGAGACTTCTGGGAATGGGAAGATAAAGAATTGTAGGAGCTGACAGTGTTGGTTCAGTGCATTGATATTCTGCTCATGGCTGAGGCACTGGGCTGAAGTCTCATGCAAGAATTCAAATTCGTAATTAAGGAGGGCTAAGCTCCTCGATTTGATCTGAGTGGGCAGGAAGGTTGACCTGGGTGGTGTCATGGCTGACTGCTTCATGGGTGCAGGATACCAAAGGCATGCTAGAAAGAAAAAAAAGCAACCCTCGAATCATCAATAACTTCACATAATTCCAACCTTAATTGTTCTCTGATCAGAAGGGAGCAATGCTTTAGGGGCCTTCTCATCAGCACTGCTTAGAAAGCTCTTCGCCATGGTAGTATTAAGAGTTAGCCTCGCCCCTTAGATTCACTCAGCTGAGCCAGGACAGGCAGCTTCAATCTGCTTGGATGTCCTGTAATTCTGAAGTGTTTCTTGGCTACCAAATGAATACAAAATAAGTTGTTGGTGTTTTAAACAGACCATTACACTTACTTCAAGCATTCTTTTTATAATCAGACTTATTTTTTTTGCTTCCTTCACAGGTTTTGATTATTTTGATGCCAGTGCCAAAGAGAACATCAATGTGAGACAGGTCTTTGAGCGCCTAGTGGATATAATCTGTGAAAAGATGTCGGAGAGTATAGAGTCTGACCCGTCCAGAGGCAGTTCTGGGAAGAACATGCGACTCACAGACAACCCACCGCCTTTGCAGCAGAACTGTTCCTGCTAGTGATTTTAATCTCTGTGAAATCTCTCTCTCCCCTTCCCTGAACACACTTTATCTTTTCACATGTGATGATGTATTATCATATCGTCTGAAGGCTGGAGTTTCTGTTATAGTGGAAATGGACGTGGTTGTTAAATGTCCTGGAAGTTTAATGTTAAATATATCTAATACACCTAATATTGTAAAACAAACAAAAAACCTAAATAAATATTGTTAATAGTGTTAATGGGTGAATTACATTGAAGTGTAAGAATTTTATAATATTATAAATGTATTTTTAGATTATTCCCATAGAGAATGTTGCTTTGTTATAGACCCTTTTGCTGGGGAGAGAGCTCTGTACCAACACGCAGCTCAACAATTGATAAAGAGCACTGAACATAAAAAAGATCAGAAAGGAAAAGATTTTGAAAAAGAAAAGAAGAAACCCAGACTCCCCTCACAAAATAGGAAAGTAAATCCTGTCTTTACATCCAAAAAACCTGGAACATCTCAAGACTTCAGGTAGGAGATGACCATGCTCCTTGATGTAAAACTCTGCTGTTTTGTTTGATGCAGCAGGACTGGGTAGCAAGAAAGGACCCGTTTCTATTTAATACACTGGGGCCACCAAGAAAATCAAGAGAGTGGGAGTTGAATTTTGTGCCATGCCTCTGCAGAGGTTTAGCATAAGAATCAGAGTCCAAGCAGGGAGAGGGTAAAAGTGGCTTTAAGCCACTTTTGCACTTCCCTAATTCTGGGCTCATGCAGGGCCAAGCGTAGCACGTTTAACCTTGAATGTCAGTATCTCAGACCAAATTATTGGGAGCCAACATGTGAGTGTTTGTAACCAGTCTGCCGTCTTGTTGCTCTTAAAATAAGTGATCTACCAGAACAACTGTTATATCTACTTTTATTTATTATTTATATTGCCATAGCACCTAGGAGCCCTAGTCATGGACCACAACCCCATTGTGCTTGGAGCTGTACAGATACAGAACAAAAAGGCGGTTCCTGCCTCAAAGAGCTTACAAGCTAAGTAGTAAAATCTACCTGCAAAAAGTCCTGAGTCCTGAGCTAGTAGTCAAGGTTAACTCCCATGATATATTTGTGGGACTTTGATTAAAGGGAAAGAATAATTAATTTTGTTTTATTATTAGAATAATTACTTTTCTCTAGCATGATAATTAAATGAATTAAATATAGATTTATAGGCAAACCTCAAAGGGACAAATAGTACAGTGCTTTATACAACTCCAACAAGGAAACCTGTGGAAGGATGACACATGCACCCAAAACTAGAGTTTAAGCCCAAGGTAAATCTCACAGAGCTTCTGACATACCTACCCCTCATGAGGCGGTGCTTGAACTCAGGCATAAAAGAAAGAGGGCATGGCACTCTTAGAAGTCAGCAGAAAACTGTGCAAAGTCCCGTTCATCCCAAAAAACGAGCATCCCTTTTGCATGGCTTTCAAAGTCCCCATGCAAAATGGATTCATTTGGAGTCATGCTGCTATTGGAGCCCACTGTCACGCCTGTACAATCCTTCCCTGTTTCCTCTGAGTTGCTGCATGCCCCGGAGGGAGTTACTGCAGCCACCAATATCGAATGCATCGATTTCCATTGGAAATCAGCATGCTAGTTTTTGGTTTGGGACCATCTCCAATTTTATCTAGCAAGAGCTTCTAACTAAATAAAACTTAAATACGTTTTCTAGGTAATGAAGGGCCCAATCCTGCTCCCACTGAAATCAGTAGGAGTTTGGTTGCAATGGGAACAGGAACCAGCACTCTTGTGACTATTAATGTTATCAGAATGGTTCTAATTCTACAGTGGTTAATTAGATAATGTTAGAAACATGGAGGAGAAACATATGTGCATGTATGGTTTTATGGAATGACAAGTCTATTTAACCATCAGACCCATATATAAGAACAGCCATACTGGGACAGGCCAAGGGTCCATCTAGCCCAGTATCCTGTCTTCAGACAGTGGCCAATGCCAGGCGTTTCAGAGGGAATGAACAGAACAGGTAATCATCAAGTGATCCATCCCCTGTCACCCATTCCCAGCTTCTGGCAAACAGAGGCTAGGGTCACTTCAGGGTATGTTTTTTCATCCCTGCACATCTTGGCTAACAGCCATTGATGGACCTATCTTCCATGAACTTATCTAGTTTTTTTTAAACCCTGTTATAGTCTTGGCCTTCACAACATCCTCTGGCAAATAGGTTGACTGTGCACTGTGTGAAAAAATACTTCCTTTTGGTTGTTTTAAACCTACTGCCTATTCATTTCATTTGATGACCCCTAGTTCTTGTGTAATGAGAGGGAGTAAATAACACTTCCTTATTTACTTTTGCCACACCATTCATGATTTTATAGACCTCTATCATATCCCCACTTAGTCGTCTCTTTTCCAAGCTGAAAAGTCCCAGTTTTATTAATCTCTCCTTATTTGGAAGCTGTTCCCTACCCGTAGTCATTTTTGTTGCCCTTTCCTGTACCTTTTCCAATTCCAATATATCTTTTTTGAGATGAAGAAACCAGATCTGCAAACAACTGCATGCATACAGCTCAGCTAAAATGATCAACATGGATCTTAAAAGCTAAGATGTTCCTCCTATTAATCTTGATCAGCATAGCTGTTCTGCCTTGCAAAGAAGAACTTCTCTTTTCAACTTGGTCAGCTGACAGAACAACTCTTTGGAAGGATAGATATCAAGCTATATGCAACCCTAAAATTAAATGGAAAAATCCACCAGCAGGAGGGCCTGTAATGTGTATAACACCACAGTTACAATCCCCAGCCTGGTTTATATGTTACATGTACTTCTTGTTTTCACATTGTTCTTGGGTTTTTTAAAAATTTGTGCTAAAAGGTTGCACTTATGATGATATTATTTCTTCTAGTTTCAGACTTAAATATAAAGTCAAAAAACTTCAGAGAAGAAGGAATTCATAAAAATAATGAAGGCTTAAAAATGGCGACAGTGAACAACAGATGACTGAGATCTCAAAAATCTGAAATATCAACATCCCATGGCCTGCTTCTTTCTGGGATGCAATTTTTACAATTTAGATATAGCATACCTTTAAACATTCAACATTTCTGGCACTAAGATTATTATATCTATATGAGTACAATTCTGTGTGGATATATATGTAGTAGCCAGATTTGTAGCATTGTATATATACACAAACACGTGGAGGGCTACTTTCACAGATCTCTCAAACTTTCTAGGCCAAATTTCTATTTGCTTATATAATTAATCATCATGGGACCATGAAAGGTCATCTAGTCCAGGCCCCTGCACTCATGGCAGGACTAAGTGTTATGCACACAGACTCAAATTTGAGAGTACAAATGGCATTTGTACATACAAATCAGTGATGTCAAATTAGCCTATTTTTTTTGCACACAAAATTGCAAATTTAGGCCAGAGTTGTGCAAGTTATTCTGTGCAAGTGGGTGCAGCATCTGTGTGAGATCCCACTGAAGCTGGTGGGGTGCCGTCAGTGGCGTAGCCAGGTGGAGGGAACAAGGGGAGCAATAAAACAAAACAAAACAAAAAGGCGCCATCCGCTGCGGCGCATTTACTCACCTGGTGGTACTTCGGGTCTTCGGCAGCAGGCCCTTCACTCGCTCCAGGTGTCTTCAGCGGCACTGAAGGTCCCGCCGCCGAAGACCCGGAGTGCCGCTGGGTGAGTAAAATAAAAGCGCCACAGCGAGTGGCGCCTTTTTTTTTTTATTGCTCTCCTGGGTGAGTACAAAGGTGCCAGGAAACTGACAAGGCACCACTTGTGCTCAGTGGGGGAGCGGCTGCTCCCCCCGCCTCTCCCCCTAGCTACACTACTGGGTGCCATGCAGGGATCTGTCCACTGCATTGTAAATAGCAGGATTTAGGGCCTCAGGCTGCCTTTGAAAATGTGTCCTTCTGTCATACCTCAAATGCTTTTAATATAAAGGCTAGTAATTTTCTGGCATGGAAAACCAACTAGACTTAATATAGCTTCTATATCTATTGTGCTAGTGAATCAAAGCCTTGCTATAGTGTGTGTTTGGATACTGCTAATTCTTGTTCTCAAAAGTCATCTCTCTAAAATAAATGCTCTCTTTTGTAGGGTGTTTCTAATCTGGTGGTGAACATGCAATTTGTGCAGTGCTAGGAGTGTACATATTGTATCTATATTTATGAAGCTGACAAAATAAAGACATTATTTAGTCTCTGAACGTGGCCAGAGATTGCTTGAGTGTGAGCTACGTTACTTATCTCAACAAATAGTAAGGATGGAGTCATCTATCAGGGAAGAGGTGGTCTTTTTCTGAATCTTCTTGAATTAAACTGAGTTGCTTGTGCCTTTTCTGCCAGATAGTGTTCCCTGGGCCGCAGTTATCATTAGGAACCACTGTGGGGAAGGAGATGCTGTAGGCTGAATGGCAAAACAAGCATTAACAGGGTAGCAGGTATAACATTTCAGTGGTGACAGGCAGGTTTTAGGATAACTTAACTAGTAACAAAAAATAACTTGATGAAAGGGTTCAGAGCTGAGGGTGGTGGTGCTCAGCTGTGAAGTTAAAGGAAGAAAAGGGTCTCTCATACTGGGGAGGATGGCTGTAGGGGGGGACAGGAAATGCATTTCTGAACTGGTGAGGGCTGGACTGGAAGGAGATGAGGGAACTTGAGGGGTTCTGAGCTGAGAGGGGTATAGGCTGAATGTAGGGAAGAATGGAATCAACTGGTGACTGAAGATGTGGGTGAAGTGGTGGTGTGTGTGGCAGGGTTGGTGGGAGATGGTAGGGGAAAGCTAGATAGCTGGGGGAGAGAGGACTAGTAGAGCACAGTGACAGGTTTAGAGAGGAAAATACTGTTTCCTCCCATCCTACCATTTGCAGCGAAGTGTCCATTTTCCTGGTAAAGATGGGGAGGTAGAGGGAAGAGATGCCTCTCTCTTTCCCATTTGCCCACCAACTTTCTTTATCCTCCCACTCCTAGCAGGGTCCTCGTTATGACCCACCTGAATGGGAGGAGGCAGCTTGTGACATTCAGCCTCCTCAGTTAATCTGGGCACCAGCCACCACTGTAGGGTGTCGTGCTGTGACCTACTTTCTGGTAAAGGTCAGTACAACTGTTGTTGTTGGCAGCTATTCATTAGCCAGTATGAAAGCACGTGATGGTCTCACACAGCATTCACCATACAAGTGTCCACCTCATCAGGTGCCCAAAGTAGAAGTATTGAAAGAGAGAGAGGCCATGGATTGCATGGGCACAGAGGCTGAACCACCCTCTCTTTCCATAGTAGGTT